TGAAAGTGACATTTGTATATATTGCCAAAGCCTTGTGCATTCAGGCTCACACATACACATACACACACACACCTACATACACATGCCTACCAATATATATCCGCTTGGGTACAGTTTGCAGTATGTGCATCGGTCTAGCCAACACCTAATTACTACCACACGTAAACCAGGATGCGTGTAATTGTGTTTTTTGGCCCGATCCATCGAATTTCACCTACCAAAGTGGAAACCCATGTTTGAATGTTAGCTTGCGCACGGCCGAACAACCGTGTGTATTTACATGTCCGAGGGTAATTCATTAAAATGGATGTGTTTCAGACAAAACTCCAAAACAATGGACCACATTATTGGTTGCACAGCCATTTAAACATGTTAATGGCTTGGTATCGCCAAGGTCTCTAATTAATTAATGATGTGTTGCTGTGGTGCCACAGCTACTGCTAGGACCATGCCAACACACACCTCTCTCGCCCTTTAGTCGGATCCTTTCTTTATGAGTTGCTAGTCTGTATCCCAGTCACCACATCCCTACTCCAGTTGTGAATAGTTGGGCAGATGGGAGGCCTAATTTCACTTGTTGTAAATGAAATAAAATAAGGCTTGATGCCATCGAGACCAGCCACTTAGACACATGGACTGTGTCTACAAGCGCACAGGCACGTACACACAGGTTGGTATGGCGACAGTTAAAGTATGCAAATGGGCCAGATAAATGTTTGGCCGTAAGCAGGCGCATCATAAAGCCTGGAGAAGAGGAATTATTCGGGCATCCATTAGCAGCATACATCTTGCCATGTAAGTCCGCACGACAAGAGCCTTTCGAGCCTGCCACATGAGTGGGCTGGTCCAGCAAACTTGTTGTCTGATTAGGCGTAAAACGTTAAGTATTTCAATACGAGTCGTCCCATCAGACGTGTTGCAGAGGGATCTGATTGTCTGTGTCTTGAAGTAGCCGAATGATCGCATACTTCTGGAACCGTCTATTGAGTATTTTGCGCCATCCAACAAACTTATTTCCTCATCCTACGGTTTCTTCTCGTTCTCCTCCTCATTGAACTCGAACTTGAACTCGAACTCGAACTCGAACTCCAGCTCCAGCCGGAGACAGCCCTGGAGCTCCCGATCTTTCACATGCTGACTAAGAAAGCGAAGGTCGTGTTGCCTGCTCACAAGTTCACGGTTCGAATAGCGATGGGATGAAAATGAGAAGATGTGGCAAGATCGAGTAGTGCCTTTTCGGATGCCTGGCAGAGTTCAAAGTTGAAAAGTGCTTATACTCATTCCTGGTTTTAATTATGAACAGAGCCATACGAAACTAAGGCATAACGACAACCTTGAATAGTTCACAAGTAACATCTCCATCATTTAGAGTGATATCCAGAGAGGCCAAATCAGAACTTTGGCTCACTTTAGTGTCTGCCTACCTGAATTTGTGTGTGTGCGCAGACAAATTTTTGAGCATCTTTAGGGAAATAGAATAGCCGAATGTTCGCATACATCTGGAACAGTCAATTGAGTATTTTGCGCCTGAAAATGAGAACACATCCACCTTCAGTTTCTTCACTTTCTCCTCCTCG